GAGCCGAAGTCGGACGCTTGACCGACGGAGCCACCCAGGCGCCCCGTTTTTTGTTTTTGTTTGTTTTTTTTTTTCCTTTTTAAAAGAAGGGCCAGGTATCAGAGAAATGCTTCTGTGTTGTCTTGTCTGCCAGACAGACCTCACCTGTCATCCCGGGCGACAAGCCCTCCTTGCACTCACTTGGGTGCACTCCTTGGTCTCACTTGGGATAAGTGGGGGCCTGCTCACCGGATGGGGGGGCAGCCAGAGGAGGCAGCTCAGAGCCCAGAGAGGCAGACGGTGGCAAACCGTAGCCAGGAACGGAAGCTCTCCCCAGGGCTCACGCTTAGTTCAGCGTAAGGTGGATTGAAATCTACATCTCCCGGTATCATTCCCAGCCCAGGACCCCTTCAGCCCCACCCCAAATCACCTGTCCGCATGCTGGGCACACACATCTTGCACGACCTGCTCTTGGCAAATGACCTTCCTCTTTGCAAAGCAGGAGAGAATGAAGCGGCCTGTGTGCAGGCCGCATTCAGTGGGTCCGGGGAGAGGAACTGAGCTGCTAATAAGCCATTTTAAATAGCACGGAGGGGCAGAGATGCCACTTAGGCTTATCTTCTGCCACCCACTCGGTCCCCTTTCTTTCGTCCTGAAAGATCTGCTGCCCAGAAAATCGCCACAGTTGCTGTCATGGTCCCCCTACCTGGCGACTCTAAGACGTGATGTCACTGAGGGCCATATCCACCCCGCTGAATCTTGGGGTCCCCCGCTGGAAGGGCCTGCTCGGCCGGGCTGGCTTCCAAGAAGACAGCAGGTGGGAGGGGGTGGGGGCCGGGGACTGGGTTCCTCTCCCTGGGGGCAGAAGCGGCAGCTGGCAGGTGGGTCCTGGCACCTGTGGGACGCCCCCCTCTCTTCTCCATCCAAAGGCAGACCCAGCACGGGTGGCCCTGCTACGCTTGCTTCTAGGCTGTTCGTCACTGAGAATTCTGCTCTGCCCAGTGCATCGTCTGGGTTGGGCGAACAAGACCAAGCCACCGCTTCCGGTCCATCTAGACCCTAAATGTCTTTTAAGGCCACTGATATTGTCCCTTTCTCTTGCAGCCCTCCAAGTGCAAGGATTTCTCATTCCTCAGAGCATCTTTCCGCCCCTCACTCAGCCTAGACTCTCCCCTGCCGTTAGCCAGAGCATCACCATTTATCTTGGTGTTTAATTTACCCCGTGTCCACCTTACGCCCCCAAACCAGCCTGCAATCCACCTTTGTTTCCTTTCCACTGCAAGCCCTGCCAGGCTCTCTCCAGAATCCGAACATTAATACCTCAATGCTCACTCTCTCCTGGGAGGGAAAATCACAACCAGACTAGTGGCAGAGAGCTGTCCCGTGTCACTGGCTATAGATGACAAGCAAGGGCCTCCGGGGGAGAAGCTGGGAAGGCTCCTAGGAGGAGGTGTCATTAGCATTGGGCTTTGAAGAGGAATGAGTACTTGCCAAGTGTAACATGGGGGGAGGGGCAGAGCAGAGTGTGGCGTGCCCGGGAGGTAGGGGGGAGGCTGGCTTGGCTGGAGGGGAGGGAAGGGAGCGGACCAAGAGGAGGAGCATGTCAGGGTCTCCTGCACCCTCTCACTGCCCCCTCCGGTGGCCCCTCGAGCTGCTGGGCCAGCTGAAACGGGAATACCAAATGGCGTGTGCCCAGCCGCTAAAACTCAGACGTGCGTGCCCCCCACTTCTAAGCCCAGGATAATTGTGCCACCAAAAATCAAGGCCGGAGTCAGATATGAGGTCCCACTTGGTTTTCTCAGGCTGCAGGAGGCGGGGGCTAAGGTTTGCTAAGTGCTTTGATCGCCGTTTCCAAGTATTACCACTACGATGCCGGGCCCTCCAACACAGCCTCTTTCTATATCCTCTTGGCGGCCTCGTGGGCAGGGGCAGGGCTCCTGGAGGCCCCCCAGGCTCAAAATCTCAGGAGAGCTCCTCTCGGGGGCCAGCCCTGCCCGTGCCCGAGCCTGAGTGAGCGCCTCCTTAAACTGGCCGAACCGCCTGCGATGGACGCATCCGCTTCCCCGTTTTGTGGAGGCTGAAGCTGCGACAACAGCAGAATCCCTCTGCAGGGCCCAGGGTCCCCGCATCGGCGACCACCTACCTGATGGCTCTCCACAGGGCCGCTCTCTTCGGCCTCCCCTGGCTGGTGGCCTTCTGGAGGGGCTGGGGGTGCGGGCTCCGAGGCTGGTCTGGTGCCCTCTGCACCCCTGTCGGTACTCGGGGCCGGGATGCTGGCCTCAGGGCCCTCCTCGTCCGGCCCCGAGAAGATACAGCTGTTCCAAGAGACCTCGGCCTCCTTGGCTTCCTCAGCCCCGGCCCCCAGGTCATGCAGATAGTCCTCCGGCTCCTCCAGATCCAGGTCTTGGTGTTTCAGGTCCTCTGAGCCTTCCGCATAAGCCTCTAGAACCGCAGCCAGGGGCACCTCGTAGTGCGGGTAGTAGAAAAGGTCGTGGGGAATGACGGAGACCTTGGACAGCGGCGGGGAGGGCTTGAAGTCCAGGCCTTCCTGGCTGCGGCTGTGCAGGGTCTCCAGGCTGAGGCTGCCACTCGGAGGGTCAGAGGGGAGCTCGCCGTCCGGGCCCTGCGGCCCCTCGGCCTCCCCCTCGTCCTCGCCCCGACGGCGCCGCGCGGACTTGCGCTTGGGCTTCTCGTACACCTCTGGCTTTTTTTCCACCGGTGCCTCCTCGGGGGCCAAAGAATAGCCTGGGTCCTCTTGCCCAGGGTCCTTGTGGGGTTCCTGCTTGTCCGGCCTCTCTGGGGACTCATCCGAGTCTTTGCGCTGGTGCGCAGATTTGCTTCTCCTCTTTCCCAATTTCTCAGCGTGATCCTCTGGAACCTCTTCCTCGACAGGTCTTTTCTCACGAGGCGGAGGAACCTCATTGAAGGCCTGGCTGGTTGAGGCAAAATCTATTAGGTCGCTGTTGAACTTAGAGGCCTTTAAAGGTGTGCTTTCAAAATAGTCTTCCTCAGCCATAGCTTCTACGGTCAGCAGCTGGACCTTGATCTCCAAGGAATCGGCCATAACCGCGTTGTCCCCGAGGGGTGAAAGGGGACGGCTCTCCTTCCCCCCACCGGCCGCACCCTCTGGTGCCCCGTTCCAGGAGGGACAACTCTCCGAAGTCTGCGAATGATTGATCTTCCTGTCCACCAAAGACTCGACCCCCGGTGACTCATCAGAGGCCGCTTCCGGAATCTTCGGGGCTTCCTGCTTCGGCTTTTCCTCGGCAATCTCAGCTGCCAGGACGTCCCCATCCTGCTTCAGCGAGTCCTTTGTCCCTCTCGGGTTCCCCTCAAAGCGAAGGTCTTGACTGTAGAAAGGGTCTTTACTGCAGGAAGCCTCCTTGTAGGTGTCAGCCTCAAAGTGCACGGTCTTCTTGATTGGCAAAGAGTTGGACCTCCGGTTGTCCTTTCTGGAGGATAAAATGGAAGATTCCGGAGATGGCTCACCAGTGCTGCTGGCCTTCCCCGGGACCTCTTGGAGGGCCTGGTCGATGATCTGGTGCATGAAGTCAGTGGAGCTGTCTGAGAGCGCCTGGCTGGGCATGACACTCAGGTAGCATTCTTTCGCGCCCTCGGACTTGTCACAGACAAAGACTTTGGAGGGCGGCGGGTGGCTGGCTTCGTGGTTGACGGTGTAAGCTCGCTCCCCGTTCTCCGTCAGAAGGAAGAAGGTGCTCTCCTGTTCAGAAGGGGTTTCTTTGATGTGGACAAAGGTGGATTCAATAGGGGCTTCTTTATCCGAATCCACGAGATCCTCCTGTGAAGGAACACAGGGCAACATGAAATCAGAGGAGTGTTTGAGTGCAACGTCTATCCCCCCCCCCCCCCCCCCCAATAAAACAGAAACCAGTGTGGACAAAGCCATTTCAGAACTAATGCGAGAAGTGCTCTAATTAAGAGATGGGGCTGGTTGCTCCTGCTGAAATGTGAAAACACCAGATATGTCAAAAAAAAAAATAATGTGTTTTTAAAAGCTATGGATGCAAAGAAATCTCAATGAATGGAACTCTAGGGAAGGATGAGCCCTTCCTAAGTGACTGTCAGCTCCTTCAGACTGGTGGGCTCCTGCCTAGTCTGAGCAGGGACAGGAGAGTGAACTGACCCAAGATAAGGAAAGATTAGCCAAATCTTTACTGACTGCATGGGCCAGTGTGAGAGATCAAACACAGAAGGGCCCCAAATGCAAAACCAATTCTCGTCATACACAAATTCTCGACACACGGGGACTTTTGTTAAGTAAGAAACAGCTGAGAGTGAGAGTGAGAGCAGGGCTGGAGAGCACAGAGCAGTCTTGGTGGTATTGTAGTGCTTGGCTCCCAGCGTGCTGGTGGAGAATTGGCTGACCCCATCCTCAAATCATTTGAAACCAGAGAGCTGACATTAAACTGCAGTGTCGCTGTTACTGACTCCTGAGAAGGTCAAAACAGTCAGCTCCTCAGTCAGGTCCTTGTTCGGGAACAGGCTACCTTCTCTGGGGGAAAAAGACGGCAGGTCCTCAATCTCTACTCTTTTTAAAAAATTTTTTTTTTAACATTTATTTATTTTTGAGACAGAGAGAGACAGAGCATGAACGGGGGAGGGGCGGAGAGAGAGGGAGACACAGAATCGGAAGCAGGCTCCAGGCTCTGAGCCATCAGCCCAGAGCCTGACGCGGGGCTCGAACTCACGGACCGCGAGATCGTGACCTGAGCCGAAGTCGGACGCTCAACCGACTGAGCCACCCAGGCGCCCCATCTCAATCTCTACTCTCATAGACCAAGCCTGGCATAAAACAAGACGTTTTAAGACATGGAGAAGCAGGAGAATGAGACCCACAATCAAGAGAAACAACCATCATTAGAAGTAGACTCAAATATGACCCAGCGTTAGTAAAGGAGAGAGTCCAAAGGTCATGATTTGAAGACGGCAAGAAATACAAAGGAAAGTGGTTCTGCAGGCTGAAGGGAAGTGACCACAGACGGAAGCTTGGGTCTGAAGGAGGGAATGAAAAGTACCTAATATGGAAACTATGTGGTCAATACCGAAGGCCATTTAAACGCTTTTCTTAAAAAGTCTCCTGACTGTTGAAAGCAGTAATAACAAAGCACTGGCCATTAAAACATATGCAGAAGTAAAGTAAACGACAATAACAGCACAAGGGAATAGGGAAGTGAAGGGAATTACACTGTTACGTAAAAATGCATAAAATACATGTTTTACCTTAAGTGGTATAATAGTAATTCAAGGTAGGCTAAAGTAGGTTCAAGATGAGTTTTATAATCCCTGGAGAAACTACTGCAAAGATAAAATGAATAGATGTGGCCAAAAAGCCAACAGAGGAGATAAAATAGAAACCAAAAAATAATCAAATAATCCAAAAAAAGTTAGGTTAGGAAGGACAAAAGAGCATAGCACGGATAGGACCAATGAAATCAACAATCAGGATGGTAGGTTAAATCTATGTAAATAGTTGAGAAATTCACTAATAAGGTGACACACTAATTTTTGTCAGAAGAGTTAAGAAATAAGACCTAACTGTATACTATTTACAAGAGATATGCTTTTTTTTTTTAATTTTTTTTTAACATTTATTTATTTTTGAGACAGAGAGAGACAGAGCATGAACGGGGGAGGGTCAGAGAGAGAGGGAGACACAGAATGGGAAGCAGGTTCCAGGCTCTGAGCCATCAGCCCAGAGCCCGACACGGGGCTCGAACTCACGGACCACGAGATCGTGACCTGGCTGAAGTCGGACGCTTAACCGACTGCGCCACCCAGGCGCCCCAAGAGATATGCTTTAACTATAAGCACACATACACTGTAAGGAAAAGAGAAAGAGATATGCCACGTGCATACTAATTGTAAGAAAGCTGGTATGGCTATCTTCCTATCAGACAAAGCAGACTTCCAGGCAAAGATCGAAATTGCGGGAAAATACAACGATCGAGAAATCAGGAAGATACAACAGTCTTAAATGTGCATGATAGCATAGCGTCGACACCATAAGGCAAAAACGAACAACCGAGAAACAATTCCACAGCCACAAGTTGGAGATTTTTAACCTTTTTCCCTCACACTAATTGATAGGAAATGTAGGAAAAACATCCGTATGTGTGCAGAATATTAGAAGAGCATATTAACCAACTCAGTCTAATTGGTATTTAAAGAATGCCAATTCTTTTTTTCCTTTTATTTATTTATTTATTTGCGAGAGAGAGAGAGAGAGAGAGAGAGAGAGAGAATGTGTCACTACCTAAGACACATTCTTTCGAAGCACAAACGATATATTTACCCAAATAAACCGTACGTTGGGCCATAAAGCTAGGTGCAGGGTCTGGTTACATGGCTGACCAGGGCTTAGCAGAGATTTATTAAAATGAACTAAACTTGGGGCACCTGGGTGACTCAGTCAGTTAAGCACCTGACTCTTGACTTCAGTTCAGGTCACGATCTCGCGGTTCACGAGACCAAGCCCTGCATCAGGCTCTGCGTTGACTGCACAGCCCGCTTGGGATTCTCTCTCTCCCTCTGCCCCTCCTCTGCGTGCTCTCTCTCAAAATAAACAAATAAACGCTTAAAATAAGTCAGTAAAATGAGCTAAACTGAGCTGAGTTGTTAAGGAAGAGTTCAGTGGGTGTCTAGATTAGCTGGGACGGCCCATCTGGATTCCCTTGGGGGCAAGGACACAGCCAGTGCCGCAGTGGTACACGGTGTTTTGTGAATCGGGACCGCTTTCTCCAGGGGTCATATTTCCTCCAGTCTCTCTCGTCCCAGCCCCAGCCTCTGACCCCAGCACTGGGGGAGATCCAAGGGTTAGATTTGCTGAAGCCTGGCGGTGACCTTAACTCACACAGACATGGTAAGTTTCAGCCGGTTCCAAACTCTGCCTACAGCTTAAGAGCTCGGGGCTAATAAAAGCCCCGGCGTCTAGTATTTCCAAATTTCGCGAGGGCCTAGGAAAACTGAATTACAAAAACGGTGACAGTCACCACCATTTGCTGAGCGTTGACTGTTGTCGCAGGCAGAAGACTGCATACTTCACATCGTCTATTTACTCTTGACACAACTCTGAAGTGTGGGTAAGATTTCCATTTCACTGCGGACACCTCTCACAGACGTGTATCAGAGACGTTAAGTAAGCAGCTCAAGGTCACACAGCTTCAAGCGGCAGAACTGCCGTTTCCAGCCCATGGAATTCCTGCTCCTAAAGCACCCTGGGAAGTGATCTGTGGTGCAGGGACAGACAGGACACACGCACACAGAAAGGGAATGGAACCAAAGGCGTGGCCTCGGACTAGCTCTTCGGAGCTGCACAAAATGGGGCCTGGGTTCCAGCCAGTGGTTGTAAGGGACCCAAGAGCCAGAAGCGTGGAGTCACAGAGAGCTGTGGTTTGACCCCAGCTCTCTACTTGGTAGCCGTGATCCTGGGGAGGCCCGTAGGCTTCTTCGACCATCTGTATTCTCATCTACAACACGAGGATCGTGACACAAAGCCACGTCTGGAGGTAGGGGGCAGTCAGCCCAGATACATGCAGGGCGTTTACCTGACCAGCCTCCAGCTCGAAGTGCAGCCCTGTCCCCCCCTGGATTGGCTCTTCATGCTAATTTGGTTCTGGCTAGTACCTCCCATTACCCAAAATTCTGTGTTTGCTCACTTGTCGACTCTTTGGGCTCTGAGAGCGAAGCCGTACGAGGTCAGGGACCTCATCCATCCAGCTTACTGCTGAGTCGCCCTGAGCGAGCCCAGTAAATTACCAAGGATTTCAATAAAGGTCTATCGTCACATTGTTGCTGTCACTATTACCATCTCAAGGTTGGGCACGGGGTGGGTGGAGGTTCAATGGAGCCACGATAACTTCTGAAAGGTCTGATTCTGTTCCAAGTACAGTCTGGGATTCTGAAAATAAGAAGGCATGCCTTTTTTTTTTTTTTTTTTTTTAAAGAAGACATGCTTTTGAAATGTCATTGTCCTCCATATTTTTTCACACTCGGATAAAATCTGGTAAACTGCTAGAATGTTCCATCTGACGGCTAAAGTATCAGGTGGCCAACGCACATCACAAGGGAACATCTTTTACAGTCTTAGCAAAGTTTGGTTTGGGAAGACGTTGGCAAGAGGGATGGCTGCCCAACTTCCCATCCTGCTTCTAAATGTAAATCATTTACAGTGATTTGTAGTCAGGTAAGCAGCTGACTCCGGATTTCAGCTCAGGTCGCGATCTCATGGTTTGTGGGTTCAAGCCCCGAGTCGGACTCTGTGCTGATGGTGTGCGGTGTGGAACCTGCTTGGGATTCTCTGTCTCCCTCTCTCTCTGCCCCTCCCCTGCTCACACGTGCTCTCTCTCTCTCTCTCTCTCTCTCTCTCAAAAATAAAATAAACCTTTAAAACTAATAAAAAAAAATAAATGTAAAGCATCTTATCCATGCTTCTGAAATTAAAATGTGCCAAGGCAACACTTGAGGGACTTGAGACCCAGTTTTGATTATTACTGGTCGTTTCATCAGCGCTTTGTCTGACGGCCGGCGGGTGGAAATTGTTTCTGAATTAAAGGTAAGGAAACAAACATACAGCTTCCAGCTCCGGGAAATGTTCCAGAAACTGTGCCACGTAAGTCACGATGGACTGCTCGTCTGGCGTGTCAACCATGATGTCTGTTAAGAGAGACGCAGGAGTTAGTAGGACGATCAACACGTGATTTGTAATCAGGATCGAGGGACACTTGTCGCTGAAGAGTCCTGCAGACCATTGAGGTTTTTTTCCTCTTTATTTTATGCTTGAGAAATTTACGCCCAGGGAGGGTGAATCATTTGGCTAAAGTCTCACATCCGGCTGATGAAGAGAAGGGGCGGGACGTGGAACCCAGGATTCCTCGTTCCCAAGGCTGTCCATTATTGCCTGCGGTCTGGATTCCCCCAGCGGGAGCAGCCAACTCTCAGCTGGCCCCCTCAGCGAGTCTGGTGAGCCATGACCCTTACTCACCGCGGCAGGGAGTCCCAAATCAGCCCAACTCATGTGGAAATCAATCTGACAGACAGCCAAGCGCCTTGAAAAGGCATGTACTTTCCAACTCTGGTATTCCGCGGATGGAAGGAAATAATCTTGAGATGCACACTGAGCTCTATTCAGTAAGAGGTCTGCCGCATGTTGTACAGAAATGTGACTCTTTTCGAAACAACCTCAATGTCCACCAGTGGTAGACCTAAGTAAATTTGGGGACGCCCACTAGATGGACCGTTGTGCAGCCATTAAAAATACATAACAAAGACACGATAGCAACGGGCAAAGGGCTTATGTCATCATTAACGACTTAATTCATTAATTAATCAGTTTACTCAATGGTGAGTAGAAACAAGTAAGCTACAAATACGTGATGGGGATGACAAGTACACTTATCATGGTGACCACGGAGCAAGGTATAGAGTTGTGGAACCCCTATACGGCACTCCTAAAACTAATATAACACCGTGTGTTAACTCTACTGGAATTAAAATTTTAAAAATTTAATAAAAAGTCGTAGATGCACAACTACAGCTGACTCTTGAGCAGCACGGGTTTGAATTGTGTGGGTCCGCTGACGTGCATTTTTTGGGATCAGTTCAGTACAGTCCCGTAAATATATTTTCTCCTCCTTACGATTTTCTTAGTAACGTTTCCTTTTCTCTAGCTTAGGTGTATAACACGTATCACATAGAGAACATGTGTTAGTTAACTGTTCGCGCTATTGGTACGCCTTCCAGTCAACAGTAGGCTATTAGACACTAAATTTCTGGGGGGCCAGATGTTATACGTGGATTTTCTTTTTTTTTTTTTTTAACGTTTATTTATTTTCGAGGGAGAGAGAGAGAGCGCGTGTGAGTGGGGGAGGGGAAGAGAGACAGAGACAGAGGATTCGAGGCGGGCTCTGTGCTGACAGCAGCGAGGCTGACGGGGGGCTTGAACTCACGATCTGCGAGATCATGACCTGAGCTGGAGTCAGAGGCTCCATCGACTGAACTACCCAAGTCCCCTATACGTGCATGTTAAACCGTGGGCAGGGGGCGGTCAGCACCCCTAACACCCGTGTCGTTTAAGGGTCAACTATATACATATACTGAACGATCTCAATTCTGTAAAAAAGACTATAACGAGATGCATCGAAAAATACTAAGGGGTGAAGTACAGGAAACATAACAATGTCTTCGTTCGATTTTCCTGTCTTTTCCCAGTTTTTCTCCACGGACGGCGTGTGTTGCAGCTGTAATACAAGTAATTCAAAAGACAGAAAGAGAAAGGGAGGGAACCAGAGTCACCTTCTGGCTCCAGGAGCCTGGGAATGTGAAGGGCCTCGTGCGCCACGCGGAAGGCCTTCTCCAGGTTTTCCCGCATGGAGTCTTCCAGAGCCTGCTTCATGTCAACCAGGCTGGGGTCGATGGCCTTGATCACGGCCAGGAAAGCCATCCCGCTTCTCCAGCTGCCCGCGAAGTCCTGCACCGCCACGCCATACCTGAAGGAGAGGGGCCGCGGTGGCCGCGACACAGGTCAGGAGGTGAATCCCCTGAGAGGTCACACGCGGCAGCCTCGAGGGTCCTCCGAGCGGGGCCAGGAGCTGCGGGCTCGCCAGGGGCGCCTCAGGCCCTGAGTCCCGGGACAGCTGTACGCAGCACTCCCCCTCCGTTCCCGGAGACACAGAACAGAAAGGTGTACGTTACCCACACCAGCAAAACGGGACCTTGTGTTCCCAGATTCCCAGACACGTAAGGAGCAATTCCACACGCTGCTCACTCTTCGGTGGCAGGCAAACCAGCAAATAAGGGTGTGCGGTAAAATTGGAGCCGGAAAGGCCCAAGTTCACCTCCCGGCCGTCCCGCCCCCGCCCCGCGTGTTCCCAGCGCGATGGCCTCGGGCCAGTCACATCGCTCTGGCCCTCAGACTCCTCCGTTGTAACACGGGGACCCCGTCTGGCTGCGACCGCTTGGCAGCTGTTGTGGCAGAGCGTTAGATCTTACCCGTCAGAACGGCCATGGCACGAGGCCAACCTCACGTGTGACGCGGGGTAGCACACGAAAGCCGCCAACGATCCCATTTCACAGAAATAACGTCAACAACTTAAAAGTGCGGGACAAAGAGAGACAATCCTGCTGGGCGCCAACTTCCTTTGAATCTATCCTGAGACCCCGTCCGTCTTCCAACGGTGGCCACTGAACTCTCTTAGAAAAAATATGTGTATTTAGCAATCATCTGGGATTCCTAAGAAGCTGTAAGAGCGGTACAGAGCTCTCCTCTACCGTCCACCTGGCCTCCCTCGGGGCACCTCACATCACCAAGTGCAACATCAAAGGCGGGACGCTGACGGTGCTACGAGCCATTGAGCCACAGGCCTTGTCTGGATCGGTCCAGCGTCACTCCCACGGGGGTGGTATATAACCCAGGCCACTTTGTCAAGGACAGACCCTGTGGCCGCCACCGCCACGACGGAGATCCAGGACTGTTCCATCACCCCCACGGAACACGTCCTCTCCTTGACGGTCACCCTACCTCCTGGCAACGAGCCCTCTTCAGGTTGATTTATTTTTAAGCCACATCTAACAGATGTTTACGTTAGTCAACCCTTCCAGGCTTGACCCCTCAGTCAAAACCCAGGGATCCAACTCTCTTTTTCTTTCGTGGTTTATTTCCGTATACACCCGGGAGAGAGGACCCGACGCGTGAGGGAGTGCTTATTAAGTGCTGGTAAAGCGCAAGGCGCTTTCGCGAGCTGCCTCCGCGTCGTCCTAACCGTCCTGCAAGGCAGGCAGTGATAAGTGACCATCTCGCAGACGTGGCTGTGATGCACCAGGAAGGCCCCCGGTCTGTGCGTGGCAGAGCCCGGTGGCCCCAGGTCGGGTGTGGCTCTCCCCGCGCGTGGCCTAGCTTTCCAGCTGTCCCCGCCACGGCCCAGGGTCCCAGGGTCCCAGGGGCTGTCGACTGGTGCATAAGACCCTGATACAGCACTGCTGAGAGCCCTGGCCTGCTGGTGCGGGGGTCACAGCACGTCACAGCCTTCACTGTTATTAGAGTTTAGTAGGTACAGTCTCTGAAAGTCACCCCGAAGCTTAACAACGAATATGTACGTGTTATAAGGATCCAAGAGCCCTTCCCACTTTGGGATTAAATGGGGGCAAAGCCCTTTCGATCTCGTGTTCAAATCCCCCTGTCACTTTTCTGCAAACCGAACGTTCTGCGAAGACAGCTCTGGGCGTGCAGAAACTGAAAATGCACAGCGCTCCCGGCTCTCGGAGTCTGTATGAAGTGACAGGCACATAACCTAATACATGCTAGTGCCCCCAACCTCTGCCCTCTCCCAGGGGGGACCCCCCTCCCTCTGCCTGACAACAGCATGGAGGGCGGAGGGAGTGATGGCTTACTTCCTCGTCTTCCTCTGCACCCACGCCAGCAGGGTCCTGATAGCCTTCCTCTGATCTTTCACAGATATGGCCACACTCCTCTCCGCGGTGGGCGTGGGTGGGAAGGAAGTATCTGAGTCTGTGCCCCCCGAGCCGGGTGACAGGCTGGAAGACGGCGAGTTTCTGCTGAGATTGCCCGTGAGCTCCTTAATCTGGAAAGAAAATGGCATTTCAGACCCCCCGAGACAGACTTAGCGCAAATCCTCGTCTGACCCCGGGCCACGGGGAGCCTGGCTGGAGGGACCAGCGCGCGTGCAGCTGGGTCTCCGCGTGGGCAGAAGACGCTTCCGGTTTTATGTGACTCGTGGTGCCTACCGACACCTCATAGGAAAGCTCGCCTCTTTCCGGAATCTCTCTCTTTGGTGCTTTGGCCACGCACACACGCCAGTCTTCCTGACCAGATTCCACCTACCCCCTTCCTCTCCTGCCTATCGGTCTCAGAATGCATGGTGCTGCTTCAAGGCCCATGCCTATGTGCATCCTGGTCCCGCTGTCTGGATGTCCCTTCCCTCCATCACCAAATCCCCGGCTACTCAAAACGTAGCTCCTAACATGTGGCTCTTGTGAGAAATGCGGAGTCCCAGGCCCTGCCCCTGACCCACAGCATCAGAAGCTGCATTTCAGCACTACTCCCAAGGAATCCGTATGCACAGCAAAGTCCGCGAACAGGTCTAACGCACTCCTACTCATCCTTCAAAACCCGGCTCTGATGTCACTTCCTCCAGGAAGTCCTCCTCACTCCCCTCCCTACTCTGGGGCAGTTGCCCCCGCTGAACATTCTTACAGCACTCTGCTCATAGCTTGATCACAACCTGCACCACAGGGTTCTATGCTATGGGACTGCCCTCTGGGATCCCAGAGAGTCAGGAGGGCAGGACTTTGTGTGTGTGCAGAGCCTGACACATAGGAGAAACTCAACAGACATTTACCGAATGAATGGATGGATGGATATCTGGGCCGGGTTTAAGGCCTTGCCTTTTCACACAGCATGTTTCCAGAATCTATACAAGAGTTTAATAACAAACATTGGTCGCTGAAGCCTGTGTATAACACGGTACGGTTGACGGAGGGCTTTCCCACAGAGCTGACCACTGCTCCCATTTCACAGATATGGAAACTGAGGCTCGGAGAGACAGCCTTTGGCGTGTTGAGTTCAAGGCTCCCATAGAACTGAGTCTGTTGTCCCTGAACCTTGTTTGCACACGTTCCCCTCAGCAACACAAGCAAGGAGACCAAAGCTCAAGCAAATCACCTTCCTGCAGGTCATTTTTACTCTTAGGAGGGCAGCTAAATAAGGAGCCATGATTTTCTATTTCAGAAGAGGGCATTTTAGAAGCTGAAACATCAGCTTACTCTCTCCTATTCCGGGATAAAAACTCGTCAGCACAGAGCCCGACGCGGGGCTCGGACTCACAGACCGCAAGATCACGACCTGAGCCAAAGTCTGACCCTCAACTGACTGAGCCACCCAGGCGCCCTGAGACTTGAGCAGTTTTAAACGTTTTTTTTTTTGTTTTTTGTTTTTTTTTATTTATTGTTGGGACAGAGAGAGACAGAGCATGAACGGGGGAGGGGCAGAGAGAGAGGGAGACACAGAATCGGAAACAGGCTCCGAGCCATCAGCCCAGAGCCTGGCGCGGGGCTCGAACTCACGGACCGCGAGATCGTGACCTGGCTGAAGTCGGACACTTAACCGACTGCGCCACCCAGGCGCCCCTTAAACGCCACCTTCAAACTCCAGCCACAGATCCTGTGCTTCCCTATAGAGTCTGCGTCTCCAAACAGAGGCTGGAGTTGGCCAAGGACAGAGAGCACACCACAGACGCCTCTTCCTCTTGCTTTCACTCCAGCTCTTTAATTACATCTGCCGCGCACGCGTCGTTTTAGGAAAGCAACTCCAAGTTCGATTTTTGATCGCAAGCATTTCCCAGTTTTTGTGACACTTCAGAACAAAATTATTTTCTGAAGCAAATATTTAACTCTTTAAGTCCCAAGAGGATGGCTAGACTCTTCTGGAGAACAGAGCTCGCATCACTATTAAAATCACAGGGACTCTGGCAGCTGGGTTTCTCTGGTTCTTTCTCAAGAAACGGAGAAGTCAAAATATATCAGAAGCAGGATCTCCCAGTCTCCCTCGATCTGGCCCCGCTCTGTTCTGTTGGCACTAAACGGGCTCAAGGAGATCATTACCGCGCGTTACGGAGAGGAAATTACTTTACCTGGAAGAAGAGAATTATGTTCCATATCAGCCCAAGAACCAAAGAGGGGTTGCCGTCTGCTATTTCCGCTGCGTCGATGCTAACCAGTTTGACCTGGGGAGAAGCAATTTATGAGCTTAACACGGGGTGTAACCTGTTGTTTTCTGATGCCCTCGTGGACCTGTTTCTCCTTCTCGTCTGTATCGTTCAGTGCTGCCCGAGGCCACCTCTGGGACCCCAGCGTGCAAAGCGAACGTGATTGTATTTAATAAACACGTGTATTGCGTTTACCATGCGCAGACCCTAGCCTCAGCTCCTTGTAAGGATGAACCCAGTTCGACCCACAAGAAGCCCACAACGCAGGTGCTTCTATTATCCCTCCATCTCAGGGGAGGAAGTTTCACAGAGGCCACGTGTAATGTGGCTGGGACACACAGCCAGGAAAGGTCTGAGTCGCTCTTTTCAGGGAGGGCTGGGCACGTGTCCACCGGGTCTGTCTGTATGCTACCCTAACAACACCAAACCTCCACATTCAACGCATTTTTGGACAAACGCACAACACCAACATCAGCAATCGTGGACCGCGATGGATAATTCTCCATTGCTCATTACAAATAGCGTATTGGGATAAGGCTTCTACCCCGAACTTCTGCATCATTCCAAAATATCCCGGTTAAAATGCATCTATTATAGGGGCGCCTGGGTGGCTCAGTCAGCTGAGCGTCCGACTTCGGCTCAGGTCATGATCTCCCAGTTCGTGAGTTCGAGCCCCGCGTCGGGCTCCGGGCTGACAGCTCGGAGCCTGGAGCCTGCTTCAAATTCTATGTCTCCCTCTCTCTCTGCTCCTCCCCTGCTCATGCTCGGTCTCTCTCTCCTTCAAAAATAAATAAAAACATTAAAAAAAATGCATTATAGAATCCCTCAGGGGATTACCTGTTTATTTAACTACGTCCTGACCATAGGATGATGCTTTGATGAATCCCGAAGGCGCTGGTTCTCAAACTATGCTCCCCGGGCCAGGAGTAACAGCACTGCCTGGGATTTGGTTAGACGGCAAATTCTCTCCTAGTCCTACTGAATCAGGAAGTCCCAGAGTAGGGCCCAGGCACCTGCATTTGAACCTGCATTTGATTTTTTTTTTTTTTAGTATGAAATT